TCACTTTGAAAACAAATCCTAATGTAGATTCATTGACTCCACAGTTAATTTTTGCTCTAACTTTGCAGTCTTTCCCTCCATTGCTTTTCAGCTTTCCACTAAGGAGCTTCCGGATATCCCGAAGAACTGGGATTTGATAGACTCTTACAGGGAGTATGAAAAGGACCAGACGCTGTGGTGACTTCAGTTAAGACCAGGACTGAGGGTGAAATGGAGTAGTGCCATGAAATGAACTCCCTATTTCTGGCTCCAATTAAGAAACCTGCACCTTTCTCCTGAATTCTCTGAGAAACAGTGGAGGGCAGGCCCCAGGGCAGGCAGGTGAGGAGGGGGCCGCGAAGCTCTTGGCGAAAACCTTGTTGAACCGCACTGAGTCTTTCGCCGACTGCCTTCTTTTCATAGACTCGCAATGTGAACTACTGGTAAGAGGAAGAAGAACCCAGGGAAAAGGAAAGAAAGATGGCCAAAAGATTGCTTTAGTAGATGCAGGCAACGTTGCGCAGAATAAAAAGTAACCAGTGTTTCAACGGGACTGCAACGCTGCTGCTGAGGGCTTGCTTTTGTTAACACGTTCGCGCAAGTCTAGCTCAGCTTTCTACCGTATGGAAATCCCTTGTTTACCATCCTCGTAGGAGGTCCTTAAAGATCTGCTCACTAGTTAGGGACTGCAGCCGTCCAGGAGGGTGTCCCGCTCGGCCGGCCGGCTGCTCTTTGACTAGGGGGCAACTTCCCTCCGCCCGGCAGGCTTGGTCTCCCCTCGGATGTGGTACGGAGTGCCATCCTTATTTCACTCCACTGAGTCCGAGCTGCAGCCCACGGTAGAAGCTGCAGGAGCTGGGCAGAGTTCCAGGCAAGAGGGGCCGAGAGGCGTGAGCGCTCCGCGGCGCTGGCCAGGGGAACGGAGAGCGGCTCCTTTGTGGACTGGAACATTCCTCCCCCCCTCCCCGCCCCGGCGAACAGCAGGGATGTTTGATCTGCGGGGTGATTGATAAGTGCGGAGAGGGGCCGCCGTCCCTCCTCCTCCTCCTCTCCTCCCTCCTGCTCGCCTTTTCTCCTCCCCCTTCCTCCCACCAGCCTTGCCCGGTGGCGAGCTGCGCCAGTGGGGATCTGCCTGCCCCGGGGGCGCCGCCTGCGCTCCCGCCCTGCCCTCGCTCCCGGGCCGCGCCGGTCCCAGGCTGCGCCGGCTGCCGCGCCTCGGAGATCGCAGATGCTGCGGGCGCCTCGGGGGAAGATCTGAGCGGCACGCTCGCTCGGTAAGTTCCGAACACTCGGCCGGCGGGAGGGACCGGCGTGGGGAGGCCGGGCGAGAGCCGCCGAGGGCAGCGCGTTGGTGGCCGCCCTCCACCCTCCGGCCGCGCCGGGCCGTCCTCGCCCGGACCCACCGTCCGTCCTCGCGGGCGAGGTCGGATGGGCGCCTCCCGCAGCCAGGTGGTCCCCGCCTCCGGGGCGGCCCGCGGTGCCCAAGCCCCGGCAAGGGCAGCGCAAGTGGCCGTCGCGGCTGTGGGGCCCTGGGCCGGTGTCGTGCGCCTAGCGGATGGAGAGGGAAGGGAGGGCGGCGGTGGGGGCCCAGGCCCAAGTCGGGGCTGGGGGACTCGCCAGACCCCTCCTGTCCCCCAGAGTCCATCGGAGGTGGGATTGGCCGAGGACTGCCGGCCGGGGCTGCGGGGTCCGAGAAGGGGGCTGGGGGCAAGCAGCGCCCCCTCGCAGGCCCGGGGCCTCTCAACCCCGTCGGGCCCGGTGGGCGGCCGGGACAGAGATGGGCTCTGTGCCTGCTGGCCCTCTTGGCGTTCGGCGGAGGCTTGGGCGACCTGAGCTAAACTCTCTTCCCTTAGAGGCCACTGAGGCTGAGCGCCCGGAGTCCGCAGCCTCCCTCGCTTCCGCGACGAGCGGGAGTGTTTTCCTAATTTTAGCGACCGCCCGCCCTAGCCGCCGGGGCTCCCAGTGCATGCCGAACCTCTCCGCCGCGCCGCCTTAAAAGCCTATTCGTAGCGCGCTGCTGTGGCAGCCCTTCCCGAGACGCGGGCCCCAAGGAAACTTAGTGCAAAGTGTCTAACGGGTTTGAGGCTGATTTCTTCCCGATGACTGGGCAAGTAGCGGTGGACTCTCAGCTCAGTCGCAGCAGGAGAGAGCGGTGGAAGGGCCAACCAACCCTTGTACGAAGCTGGCCACAGAACGAAGACTCGCCACAAATGTCCCTGGGGTCTCTCTGCTCCGCTAGCTGGCCACCTTCATTCTGTAATTGTTAAGAATTTCAAGAGCCGACATCCCCCATCTCTTCTCCCCCTTCTCTCTCCCTTCTTCATCTTCCCTCTGAAATTGCCAGCAAACTAATCTCTGTCCTCCAGTAGTGTTAACAGCATCATCAGTATCAAAATTTAATGTATTTGAAAACTAAAAGCAATATTTGATATTGCACTTAAAATTAAAAACGACACATTTATATAAAACACCATCCCTCCTATTTAAATTTAAGTACACAGTTCTCCTCTAATTCATGTTAAACTGTGATGGCCTCTATGGAAAGTTGCTGGACTCAGAGACCCTGTGTTCTGTTTTTAATTCTAGTTTCTTGAGTTTAAACATGTCAGCATTTCCCCTGGTTGAGCATCATCTTCATCTGTAAAATAAATGACTTCTAAGGTCTTGCCTAGCTGTCATGTTGGATTCTGCTTCCACCAAATATTGACCTAACTAATAACTGTCAGTTGAATGACTGACTGGGACCAATCTACCTTTAAAAATTGGAAATACGTAGCTAAATGGCCCTTGGGAAGCTATGAACAGGAGCCTAACTGTGCTTGAGATGAGATGCAGCCCCTTGCTTGCATCTAATGACGCACCTGCAGTACGGAGGAGCAGGCTGTCCACCACTGTGCCCCTCGTGACTTCACTTCTCAAGGTTGTTGTGGGGCTGAAGGAAGGGAATGTTGAGGCTAAGAAGGAAAAGATCTCACTGAAGTTCAAACAAGCATTACAGCAGTAAAGGGGACTCCTTCATGGAAGGAGAAGGAGGGAGGAGGGCGAAAGCTGGAGAAAAATTCACAGGAGATCACCGAGCCACAGGTTGACTGAGTTGCTAAGTTTATGAACTGCCCCAGCTTTTCTTGGGAAGGAAGGAGCTTGTGTCAGCTGCCCAGTCCCATGACCTGGGCTTAACAGAGAAGAATGAGGGAGAAAGCAGGGGGCTTTCCATTCTCAAATGGCTCCTTTGGCCTGTGTGACTGCCTGTCTGGCATTTGGCCAGGCAACAGAGACCCTATGTTGACTCTCTCTGTAGCAGGTTTGGGAAGGAAGAGGAAGGAAAAGCAAGCTGAGGTGATCTGTGGGGCAGGCATGGCATTTGGTCAGTTCCTTTCCTCACTGGATTTCCTCAGTTCATTTCCTGGCCATGTCTCCCCACCCTAAAAGAGCCAGCAGACACCATTCCTGCTTTGCAAAGGGACTCACACTGCAAGACTCCTGGATCCCAGGCTGGGACTGTGAGATAATTAAGAAGAAAGGAGATAATGAAGGCAAAAATCCAACACCTGGCCATCAGTAATGCTCAGCAAAGGTTATTGGAAGCCAAATTGAATGTCAGAGCTGGGAGGCCCCAAAGAATCTACAAATGGAAACCGACTTACCTGGCGAGGGCTAGATCAGACAACCCCCCCACACACACGTTTTCCCTTCCCTTTCCTCCTCAGGAGTCAGTCCTCCTCTACTGCCTTCCTCTATTCCATGGCTCCCCTTCCCCTACAGGCAGGAGGCCTCAACCGCCCTCCTGTGGGCTCCCTCCCTCAGCTCAGGCTCAGCGTGGCAGTGCCTTTCTGACACCTACTCCTCTTCTTCCTCCAGGCAGAAAGCACACGGTTGAACCTCATTACCTCGCTAGGTATAAAGCTCACTAGGAGAAGGGTTTGCTTTTTAACTCAGTGCACAAGATAGCGTTGAGCTGGCTTTGGGAGCGCAGGGTAATATGTGTTTGGCTGGTCACCACCAAGAAAGTGATGCTCACAGCCCTGAAACAAAGCTCTGTAGCATCAATCCCCTAGGAGAACTCCTTGCCCTCCTACACAGGCAAACTGGTAAGCACAAACACCTCACTCTGCACCCAGCATCCAAGCTGGCTAGCGAGCACCGCGCGCACACACGCGCGCGCACACAACACACACACTCACGCACGCACACAGTCTTTCCTGAGGGTCTGGACCTAGCTTGAGAATCTAGGGTGAGAGCCCCCCGCCCCCGACTGCCCAGGTGGCTGTCCTTCAAGCAGTGTGTAGGAGAGGGGGTAGAAGCGACAGCTCAGAAGGGCCGGAGGAGGACTCCTGGTGGTTCTCGCACCACAGTAAGTCGCTCCCTGAGAAAGCCCTCCGCGGGGGCTTCTCCCGCCGCCAGCCAAGTTGGAGATGGAGTAGTTCAGAATCCACTGACGCAGCCGGGAAGGGAAGCATCTGCCCCCCCTCCCCCACCGCGCGCCCTCGAGCCCCTGCCCCCACCCTTCCCCGTGACGTCACCCGAGTCCCGTCCCGGAGAGCCTGCAGAGCCTCTCAAATTCAAACTGCCAGACGCACTGCTGCCGCCGCCACCGGATTGGAAGTGGCGCGCACCCAGGCTCTGCCACGGCCGCTGCTTGTCTCCCGAGCCGGCCGGCTCCCCGACCTCCCTGCGCAATCGCACCCCGTCCCCCGGAGGCGCAGCTTCCCTGCGCTCCGACCCTCGCCTTCCTCTCCTGCCGCACCCCTCAACCAAATTAAAGCCACCAACAAAAAGCCGGGCATTGCCCCCTGGAAGCGGCGTCTTCTTTTACCTTGCTCTCCCTCTCTTGCTGAAGATGCTAAACTCCTGGCGGACTGCAGAGGAGGGGGGTCCTGTCATCTCCTGATGTGTGAGTACCCCCACCCCGAGCTGTCTTGGCTCTCGCATCTCTATCCCCGCCGCCAGCCCCCCATGGCTGATTTTCCCACCCCCTTTTTGCTCAGTTAAAAAAAAAAAAAGAAAGAAAGAAAGAAAGAAAGAAAGAAAGAAAGAAAAGAAAAAAGTAAAGCAATTTCTTCTGCGAGCCCAAGACGGGCGAGCCGCTCTGAGATCTCTTCGAGATACCCCAGGGGAGGAGGAGATGGGCTGGATTTAGTAGGACAACTCAATTACTAATGACTCCGAGGCTGGCTGCGACCCGCCGGGAAATCAGGTGCAAGCGTGTATTCGGGAACGCGCGTGTGGGTGGCCTGGGGGAGTGGGAAGGGAGAGGAGAGAAGACACCGCTTGGAAAAATGCAGTGATTTCATTCTGCTGTGTTGCCCACCTCCTTATTCTCCCTACCTTCCACTCTGCCTCCTCCTTGCTTTGCCATTTTAATCGGGCTTCCTTGTTTCTTTCTTCCCCGCACCCCGCTTCCTCCCCCTGCCCCCCACTCAAGGTTTGCCTGTAGGTACCTGAGCTGACACCGAAGGTGCCTAAAGATGCTGAGCGGCGTTTGGTTCCTCAGTGTGTTAACAGTGGCTGGGATTTTACAGACGGAGAGTCGCAAAACTGCCAAAGACATTTGCAAGATCCGTTGCCTGTGCGAAGAGAAGGAAAACGTACTGAATATTAACTGTGAAAACAAAGGATTTACAACTGTCAGCCTGCTTCAGCCCCCCCAATATCGAATCTATCAGCTTTTTCTCAATGGGAACCTCCTGACAAGACTGTACCCAAACGAATTTGTCAATTACTCCAATGCGGTGACCCTTCACCTAGGTAACAACGGACTGCAGGAGATTCGAACTGGGGCGTTCAGTGGCCTGAAAACCCTCAAGAGACTGCACCTCAATAACAACAAGTTGGAGGTACTGCGGGAGGACACTTTCCTGGGCCTGGAGAGCCTGGAGTACCTCCAAGCTGACTACAATTACATCAGTGCCATTGAGGCAGGGACATTCAGCAGACTTAATAAGCTCAAAGTACTCATCTTGAATGACAACCTTCTGCTGTCGCTGCCCAGCAATGTGTTTCGATTTGTCCTGCTGACCCACTTAGACCTGAGGGGGAACCGACTGAAGGTGATGCCTTTTGCAGGCGTCCTTGAACACATCGGAGGGATCATGGAGATCCAGCTGGAGGAAAACCCCTGGAATTGCACTTGTGACCTACTTGCTCTCAAGGCTTGGCTGGACACCATAACCGTTTTTGTGGGGGAGATTGTCTGCGAAACTCCCTTCCGGTTGCATGGGAAAGATGTGACCCAACTGACCAGGCAAGACCTCTGTCCCAGAAAAAGCGCTGGTGATTCCAGTCAAAGGGGCAGCCATGGTGACACACATGTCCAAAGGCTGTCACCTACAATGAATCCTGCTCTCAACCCAACCAGGGCTCCGAAAGCCAGCCGGCCACCCAAAATGAGGAATCGTCCAACCCCCCGAGTGACTGTGTCAAAGGACAGGCAGAGCTTTGGCCCGATCATGGTGTACCAGACCAAGTCCCCTGTGCCCCTCACCTGCCCCAGTAGCTGTGTCTGCACCTCTCAGAGCTCCGACAATGGTCTCAACGTTAACTGCCAAGAAAGAAAGTTCACTAATATCTCCGACCTGCAGCCCAAACCTACCAGTCCAAAGAAACTCTATCTAACAGGGAACTATCTTGAAACTGTCTATAAGAATGACCTTTTAGACTACAGTTCTTTGGATTTGTTGCACCTAGGAAACAACAGGATCGCAGTCATTCAGGAAGGTGCCTTCACAAACCTGACCAGTTTACGCAGACTTTATCTGAATGGCAATTACCTTGAAGTGCTGTATCCTTCTATGTTTGACGGGCTGCAGAGCTTGCAGTATCTCTACTTAGAGTATAATGTCATTAAGGAAATCAAGCCGCTGACCTTTGATGCTTTGATTAACCTCCAGCTCCTGTTTCTGAATAACAACCTGTTGCGGTCCTTGCCCGATAATATCTTTGGGGGCACAGCCCTCACCAGGCTAAATCTGAGAAACAACCATTTTTCACACCTGCCTGTGAAAGGGGTCCTGGATCAGCTTCCGTCTTATATCCAGATCGATCTGCAGGAGAACCCATGGGACTGCACCTGTGATATCATGGGTCTGAAGGACTGGACAGAGCATGCCAACTCCCCTGTCATCATCAATGAGGTGACTTGTGAGTCTCCCGCTCAGCATGCAGGGGAGATACTGAAATTCCTGGGCAGGGAGGCCATTTGTCCAGACAGTCCGAATTTGTCAGACGGGACCCTTTTGTCAATGAATCACAACACGGACACTCCTAGGTCACTCGGCGTGTCTCCCAGTTCCTATCCTGAACTGCATACGGAAGTTCCACTGTCTGTCTTAATTTTAGGATTGCTTGTTGTTTTTATCCTGTCAGTCTGTTTTGGGGCTGGTTTGTTTGTCTTTGTCCTGAAACGCCGAAAGGGAGTGCGAAATGTTCCCCGGAGTGCCAACAACCTAGACGTAAATTCCTTCCAGTTACAGTATGGGTCTTACAACACGGAGACTCATGATAAAACCGATGGCCATGTCTATAACTATATCCCTCCACCTGTGGGTCAAATGTGCCAAAACCCCATCTACATGCAGAAGGAAGGTGACCAAGTAGCCTATTACCGAAACCTGCAAGAATTCAACTATGGCAACCTGGAGGAGAAAAAGGAAGAGCCAGCCACACTAGCTTACACAATAAGTACCACCGAGTTGCTGGAAAAGCAGGCCACATCAAGAGGGTCTGAGCTGCTGTATCAAAATATTGCTGAGCGTGCCAAGGAACTCCCCAGTGCAGGCCTCGTCCACTATAACTTTTGTACCTTACCTAAAAGGCAGTTCGCCCCTTCATATGAATCTCGACGCCAAAACCAAGACAGAATCAATAAAACCGTTTTATATGGAACCCCCAGGAAATGCTTTGTGGGGCAGTCAAAGCCCGACCACCCTTTACTGCAAGCTAAGCGGCAATCAGAACCAGACTACCTCGAAGTTCTGGAAAAGCAAACTGCAATCAGTCAGCTGTGAAGGGAAGTCATTTGCAACCCTAAGGCATCAAAGGATGCTGCTCCAAACTGTTGGAAGCACTGCATTTGCTTTTGTGTTTGTTTGTGTTCTCCCCTTCAAGGTGGTAATGGGGGGACTTTGAAAATGTGTGGGAGATGGGGTGAAGCAGCAGTATTGCTGTTGCAAGTTTTTCCTTTAAATTATTTCTCTTTCACTCTCCCCTCACTATTTTTTTCCTTCTCTTCTTAGGAACCATCAGTGAACACGAATGTTTCTACAGTGCATTTTTTCATGTATTTTGTTTGTGATTTTGTTTCTGATTTCTTCTTTCTTTTTTCCAGTGTGGGAGTAGAAAGAGGACATTATAGTGAATGAAGGAAGAATAGGCAAACTGTTCCAATGAAAATGGATGATTAGTGTATTTTGTAGAAGATCTCCAAAGATCTTTTGGGACTGCAACTTCTTTTGTAAATAACAATACATGGTATTTTCATCTTCAGTTATGAAGTACAGCCACCAGGCATCGCTTCTTTGTGTTAAAGTGCCTTCGCACTTTAAGTACATTACTTAAATGTTGCTTTTAGCTTTGATAAATTGAACATATTTTAATGTGTTGTATTTTTCAAAATGAAAACACTATAAAATAGATCTATATGTCAGCTATATTCAGTCAAGGTACAGTTTGCTTGATTTATGGAAACTAGCCTGTCATTAAATGATTCTAGTTTAGGACTTTATAGACTTAACGGTAAAATATGTCCTTTCCTCTGGGTTTGTTTTAAGTGATTTTATTTAAGTCAACTAAAGGGATTTAACAGTGGACTAGAGGTAGTAAACTGCCTCAGATGGGATTAGTAATTCATTAATAAAATATATTTAACCCAATATAAGAGTAGATCAAACAATTAATGCCCTCCCGTAAATTATTATGTTACACTAACATGATCAGTGTTTTAGATTATTTTCCTAATTAAGAATACATTACCCAACTTGTAATATATTTTTTCTGCATTAAATTAGATATTTTTGTATATTTAAAAGAAAGAGTCTGTATTTCTAACTTTTTAATTGAAATTAATATTTTTTCTGCCTATTGAAACATTTTCTATAAACACACACCAGTAGAGGCCGCCACACACCTCATTTAATAAAGACACAGGAGCCATGAAATACCTTGAAGGAAGACTTCAAAGGTGAGATTAAAACTTCCCAAATAAATTCTTTGCTAATTCAAGACATCAGAGATACAAATGTATGCATTACTTTCTATTCCTTTTAAGGTCAAAGGTTAGACTCAGAATTCTCCTCCATTTTCACATGTTCTGACAAAGCAGCATTTTCCCTTGAGTTTAATTGAAGCATTAATGGGGTGATATCAATTCGTGTACTATTTGCATCTCCAAATCTCTTAATAGTTACCTAAACCACGACAGTAATCGTGTTTTTCCTTTCTGCCTTCTTTAGGTATGTTTGACTTGAAAATGTCCTGTCAGCTTGAGCAAGCCTTTCATTTTGGTCTTCGCATTAAATTGAGTTTAACTAACCAAGTCTCTATAACATTTACAAAGCCTTATTAGCCTGTAAATAATTTTTAGATGCAAACATTATTGTGTGATTTAAACAAACAGCCCTTCTTTACAACAAAAAATAGTTTTGTTTTTTGTCTATTGTAAATCCTTATGCAACTGAGATGGTGATCTGCATATAAAGTAGTCCAGCTTTTCAATTCCTTATTAAAGCAAGTGATGGCGTCTGAAAGAAGCACACTGTTTCCTTTTCATAAATAGGTTACTGCACATAATAATCCTTTATTATCATGTGGAGATTGAAGTGGATCCTGATAACTTATTTTTAAAGCTTTAAAATGAGTAATCGTATATTGTCTGTCACTATTAACCATTCATGTGATGGGCTTTCAATTAGAAATTACTGAAATCCAAATTATTTGGATCAATAATGAATGGTGCAAAATAGTTTTTGAACAATAGAAGAGAACTGTGTACATATGTAAATGTAAAGGGCACTGAGAAAAAAAAATGCCTTTACCAGTCTAAAATCTCTTGAGTATCTATAAGAGCAAGCTAATATGTTCAATCTTTGATTAGAGATCATAATTACTGTTTAAATCCATTAGATCAAAATTGAAAATGGTGGGCTGAAATGATCTACAGGAAAGTTAACATACAGAAATTTTTCTTTTCATAGAAGAGGCGCTAGGGTGTTGCACTACTTGAGTTTGGAGATTACTCCTGGGGTCGGCCTCATCATTGAGTGAAGTATTTATACAGAAAAGAGTTTCCAAAATTTTCTTGTGGCTGCCCTCACTAGGTGCAATAATAAATACCGAATACAGAGGTAGATATTTTAGGAAGTTTTTATGAAGGCGAATTAACATATATTCCATTAAGATAGATTTTAGGCTTAAAACATATTATGAAAGCTATCAATGTATTGATTCCACTTCAGTATTTATTCTTATTCTCATGAAAATAAAGCCACCCCTATAAAATGCCAGTGCCCACAACAAAATCATTCATTAATCTTTTAATTCTTTTGTTATTATGCTTCAATTCTCTATTCTCCTGCTTTTCTAGAGTCATACTTCATTTGTATTAGGTTTTAAGGTGAAATTGTTTGCATGTAGCCCAGACTAATTCATTTAAAAGCATAATGAACCATTATACTTAGAGGCTTTACTTTCTAATGCAGTCATGAATACTTTCAGTTTTATTAATTTATTAGCATCCTTATGGACTATATTCTATTTTGTTTTACATGCCCAAGCATTTTCAAACATATTTTGTTTTAGTGTTTTTATTTTTATCTCCTCCAGATGGATTTTATTTCTTTTCCTTCACATGCAGCTTGTAATGGGTGTGAGCTGCAGCACTGTGAAAAGATTCTGGCCAACAGAATGCCATTCCCAGGGTTCTGCCTGGGACAGACCTAGCTATGTGGCCCTACAAATGGCAAATGGTAATTCCCTTTGAGTCTAGCTCTTAATTAGTTGCTTTCACTGCTTCTGTGTATACCTGTAGCTAAATTTGTATTGAGAACCACTTCTCTGACTCGACACCTTGCCAAGAGTCTAATTTGGTTCTGTATTTTAGTCAACCTGTGTGCCTTGTTTCCTCCCGCATTTGGTGAGTAAGGAAATGACACTTTAGGCTCCTCTTTTTTTGTCCTCTCACCTCTATGGTGACTTAATTTTTTAAAATGATTCCATGTCATCAAGGGCTCAATATTTTAAGGATTTTACAAAAAGTAAGTAATGGACGAGAGAGAGGTTTTATAATTTTTCAGATCCTGAAAATTCATTTTCAAATGAATACTGGATTGGATTCATTTTCAAACATACTGGACTGGATGTTAGAGTGCAGAAAGTCTTTCAGCCAATCCTACTAATCCATTCATTTCTTCATTCAGTGAATATTTCTTGAGTGCTTGCTTCCTAGGTGCCAGGCTCTGCCCTGTGTTGAGGGAGCAGAGAGACAGTGGACAGGATCTCTGCTGCCCTCACTCTGCCCTCTTTACTCCCCACCCCAAATAATAGCCTCTTTCCACCTGGCAAGTAGCTTAGTGCAAATAAAGGAAAACTTTACCTGAAGGACAATCACTCAGAGAAAACCGTGGGAACAGTCATGCAATGCAGGAGGTTGAGTTTTTTTTAAATGTTTCTGTGCATCAAGGTATAAAACTGATATAAATAGGGCCAGGGATTTAGCTCAGTGGTTCTGCCGCCTGCTTCGCAAGCGCAAGGTCCCAAGTTAGATCCCCGGTACCAAAAAGAACAAAAAACAAAACTGATATAAATAGACTGGCAACAGCGATGGAAACACTACTATCTGCTTGGAATTACATAACTAAAAAGGAAAAAGTGCCACCAAAATAAAACAAACCCACCACAAAGGTGGGCTAATCTTAGGGCCTGTAGATAGCTTTAGATGTATTTGTCTACAGATCTACTTTGCAAAGGTGACTGGCAAGATTGTAAATATGGCATCACAGATGTACTTACATTTTCTGGGATATTCGTGTTTTACAGGCAATATTTACTGTCTATCTCAGTGGCTTAAAAAGTAATATTTTGGCTTAAGTGTCTCTTCCAAAAACAATGACAGGACACTTAATTGGGAGAGAAAATTAAGTACTGTATATATGCGTACTTTGCTTCTCACAAGGTTGTGCATAAAGTCACACGTAAATTGCAGTTTTGTAAATCAAGTTGCATTTTAAATTCATCAAGGGAGTTGCCAATTAGAGGAAACTTGTAAATCTTTTTATAAAGCAGAAATGCATTTTATAATACAAATAATCATTCTCTAATTTATCTGTTTTGTATGTTTGGATTTTCGATATTGACTTTGCTTAAAACAGAGCCCACGTGCATAATGAGAGTGTTTTGCCAATGCTGCTTGTGCTGCCAGTGTCTTGGTCACTAACGGCTTATACTGGAAAGTCTGCTGCAGTTTTGTGTGAATCGAGCCATCGAGCAACTCCAGGATGGCACACTAGCATTCCTGAACAGGCCGAGTAGCCAGCCCATTTCAGCTGAGTTGAACACAGGACTCCTGCTCAACAGCATCTCCTCTCCCAGATACAACCACGTTTTCTTAGAGGGTAGAGTGACTCCTGTATTCACACTATTAAGTGCTTAGAGTCACAGGTTTTGTAATAAATATATGTCATTCTGTAAACATATTGAATTGCATGTGTGTTGGAATTTTTTAGCAGTATTTTAGCTTGAAAGTACATGTTCAAATACTGTTAGATTTAGTTGCAAATGATTGTTCTCAAGTTATTGGAATAAACAGCAAATCAAACAAGCTCTCATGTAAATAGACTTGTGTGCCAAATAGTCATATTGGTTAAGAAAATAAATGTCATATTTTGGGCTGTTAATAGACAAAATGAAATATTGAAAATGTGATCAAATGATATTGTATTTTATTGGATAAACAGTTATTTTATGTTGTAGTTTTCAGTTAAATAAACATTCACTAAAAATGAACATTTGAATTAGAAAAATTTTTCAGAATCTCTTTTTTTAATTTTTCAGAATCTTAAGAGTAACTAATGAAAAAATAATGCACACACCATCCTCTTTGCCTTGATATATGCTGCTCAAATGTGTACAAATTAAGGTTTTTTTCTTTATCTCATCATAATCTATATGTTTAGGGTAAAATGAGCTTTTAAAACACATACACTAATACTTCTCCATGAATATCTGTTAGTATCATAATTTAAAAATCAAAAGTGAAACAATAACAACTTAGTTAGAGATGTCTCTCTAGGAATTGAAACAAAGTCTACTGACTCCTCACTCTACCCAGCACATACACACACACACATACACACACACACACACACACACATGCACACCTACACTGAACCTGACTGTTTTGGATCACAAAATTTTGTTTCAATATCATAAGTAATCAAATAAATATTTTATAAAGTAAGATATAAATAGATATGTAAATCCAAAATATAGAAAGTATAAATTCATTCATGGAAATGCTATCATTATATACTTAATGACTAGAGTTAAATAACCAGAGAGAGAGAGAAAGAGAGAGAGAGAAAGATGTTCATTTGTTCCTTTGATTATGGGGATGTCATGGCAGAATGACTTGTTTGACTATTTGTTTTTGATTAAAATATCAGAATATATCCAGGTACATTCCAGGTACACTTCATTCACAAATGTATAACAAGACAAAGGATATGAGATTCCTGTGATGGATGTGAGAACTTAAAATGGATTACCCTCTGTTGAGAAGGCTAATATATGCACAATATAATGAAAGGTAGCATTCATGGGGCAGCTGAAAGAATTGAAATATCCACATTTTAAAATATTTCCTTAAAGAATGAGCTCCAGTGCTAATATATGAATCCTTTGAAAAGATTGGTTGAAAAGGAAGGAAATAAAAATAGTGTACATTCCTCATTTGGAGCACATGCAGTATGCAGGTGTTCATCAACAAGTCCACAATGTATCTGTTGATACAACTATTAAAATAGATTCTGTTGCTCCTGGATAGGGTCTGGAATGGCACCTGATTCATGTTTCCCTGAACAACTACTTTGTAAATGATAGCACATTATTTTTATTCATTTCATTTAAAAATACTATTTTGTTTGCCATCAACATTTGTCATAAAAAGCAACATTTGAGTTAGATATCTGTCAGATTGTTACCTGACATTTTTGGACATTGTAATCTTGACAGAATGTCGCTTACAACACTCAGTCTACCAGGGAGAATGGATTGGTGAATGATATTTACTCTGGGTAATCCTTGGTGAAATACCTCACTTGTCAATCCACTTTCACTTTCACATTGTTAACAGTTAACAGTGATTTGGATCATAACAGCTCTCCTATAAATATTTCTTGAATGAATGAATGAATGAATGGCTGAGACATTCCCTCTCCTATGAACTTTGAGGAAAGGGTTGAAAACTGCAGCATCTAAATGCAAAGCATAATCACAAAGAATCATTAACTGTTTCAGAAAGTCTTAAATATTTAGTCTTGACACTTTCAGAGCTTACAAGAAACACACACATATGCAAAAGATTGAAGACAATGAGAAGACAATGGCAGACTACTTGTGGTAATACACAGGCAAGACACAAAGTTTATTACATGCTGGCAGGCCCAATTGTCAGTGATACTTTGGTGTGTCCACTGAACCCAATGATCTCATTCTGGAGTTAAAAGCAGCTTTACTACTGAGCTGGGAGGTTGCCTTGTTATTGGCTTTTGGAATTGGGAGATTCTGAGTTGGGAGAAAATGTATTCCCTGACAAGCTTGAATGATGAATTCTTCCAGAGCTTATCATTTAGTTCTTCCCAGACCTCTGTGTACTTGATTGGCTTGTTCCTTAAGTCTCCCAGATAGGAGAGAAATTCTTTGGGTTCAATACCATATTAAATTATATTTGTGTCAGATTGTTTCATTAAGTCTTAGTTACACAAAACGAGAGCCTACAGATGGTGTTTCCCAGTGATGAGTCCTAGCATCTGAGGTTCTGATCTTCATGGGGCTCTAAAGTTGTGAGAGCAAGTCATGGCTCTGATTGGGCCTCAGCTTCCCCATTTGAGGGAGTGTTGGACTGAATAAACTCAATGGGTACATCCCACTTTGGCAGTCTAGGATCTAGGCTACTCTGGGAATGGCTGCTACATATGAAACAAAGTAAAGCATTGAGACCATTAAACGCCAAGCCTAAAATCTCTTATACCTCTTTTCCTTTCCGTTATGGAGTTAGAACATATCCATAATTTCATTTTATTTCTACAACATTCAAATGCAACCATTTATCTTGGGTTGATATCTCTTCCTAATTTTGACATAAGGAGGTTTAAATCCCTTTGTTTACTTCTTGATAAATCAGAACATCCTATGGCTTATCTTGGGGAAGGCCTATTCATCTGCTTTTCAAGGGCGTTGTCTTTTCTGTTGATTAAAGAATTTAGTTAATCTGTGAAATGATGGAACAAATTCAATTATGAACCTATTTAAGAAGGTCCCATTCTCACATTTCAGAGGAAATGGTGCTTTTACCATTTATTTGTTCATTATTCCACCTTCTTAATCAACACTGCTAACTTTTTCACCATCAGGGAAACTGATGGATCCCTGGAAAAATCAGCTGAGCTTCAGAAATGCAATGATTCATTCCAGTGAGCAAGCCTCTCAGCTGACAAGTGCTACTTGGCCTCTTCCTGGTCATAAATTTCAGTCATAGTTTTATTGCTGGGCCTAAGTGTCTCTATCTGGTTCAAGAGGCTTTAATTGGAAACAAAGAAATAAAGCCTTCAATCTTGTAATACTCAGCTGACATGATCTTTTGCAAAAATGGAAAGAGAAAAAATCTCCATTCAGAAAGTTTCTCTGCTTTCTGGATGTTTCTGAGGGGCTTATTAAAGCATTAGTGAATGAAAGAAAAAAAAATCCAACAACATTTTGCTATGTTTTCTTCTGTCATGTTACAAAAGTTACAAAAAAAAAATACAAGTTATTCTTATACAAACCACCATTTAAAAAAATAAAGTTAAAAGAGTTCCATTGGAATACTAAAGATTTATAGTGTGATTACATTTCAGATGTTGAACTGGAAAGTTTGGAGCCAAATATATTTTATTTATCCCTGAAAAGCAAGTACATTTTAAGCAATAATCTGGGCAATTTGGAGGAAGAGCATGCTGAAAGAATCTGATTAGTTTTAAACTGCATTTATTCCGATTTTGTTTTATGCAGGTTGATCAGGAATTTGTTCGGTTCTACTATACAAACAGCTTAAATGTTAAATTTTAAGAATAAGTCAATTTTTTGCTCTTATACATTGAAATGGGGGTTAGCTCTGCCTGTGTTGATGTTTTCAGTCAGATTTTCTGTCTTCGTTTCTAGAACAAAATCAAATATCCAAGGATGAGTGTTTATACAAAGACAAAGTCAAGTCTTAGGGGTAAATATAAATATGTATGTGATTTATAACTGAGCCAGAAAATAGAGACTCGCGCAAATCCATCTTGTCTTGACTCTTCGAGAGAAACATTTCCCAAGCCTTGAATGATCATTAACCAGGAGGCAAATATTTTCATTCTGTAGGAATTTCAGTTTTACCAGATTGTGTCTTGATTTATTCTTCAGTCACACAGATTCCTTCTCATTCACTGATAGAGGAGGACCCGAGGACAAGAAGTCCTAGAATTTATCTTTCATTCTTCAATAACTTTCTGGGTGACATTGTTCCACATCCTTCCCTCCTGAGTATCAGATGCCTCACCTGAAGTTAGCCTCCTCATTCAAGAAAGCAACTGAATAAAAACAAGCTCATTACTAAGGAATATCGAAATCTACTTTAATTCATTAAAAATAGGAAATCATTCTCAAACTCGAAACATTGTCTTTAATAATAAATATATTTTCAACAAACCTCACACCTGTTCTGCGACACACCAGTGAAAACATTTGGGCTGGAAGTTCTAATGCTCCTTTTGGCTTAAAAAAAAAAAAAGCCTCATGATTTTCTTTCCTTCATCCTTATTTCAGCTCTTAAACATCATAATTGTATAAATCCATTTCACAAAGAGTATGAGTAATTTCTGGTAGTTCTTATGTGATAACAGATTGTCTCTAAAAATATGATTTATGGCGTGCTCACTGTGTGCTGAACACTTGAGCAGATGCTGCTGTACGTCTAAAACAAATCCACAAGTGTTCCCGAAGGCTAGGGTGCCCAGCGCTGCCTCAAGAGGCTGGGGACAAAGGAAACTTCCCAGCCACCCAAGCTGCTGCAAGGACCTCCTGCGGTCTGGGAAAGTCCAAATATACACTTGCAATAAGATAAGGTGCCTGCTCTCAGGGAATTTATAACCAATTTGGGCAGATGAGCTACTTATCCTTGAAAGAGACACAGGAGGTCAGGATCAGAAACGGAAAAGATCAATAAAGACTAGACTGGCATTGTCTGAGAAGGCTGCTCGGAGCAGGCAGGACACAAAAGGAGCCTTAAAGTGAGGCAAGAGTTGGGAAATCAGAAAGCTTGAAAAAAGGTAGACAGGAATGGGCGAGCAGGAAACAGGGAAGACAATGGCGTGACAGGCTTAATTTACCTTCTGATACTTCTGAAAACCACAATAAAAAATTTGGACTTGATTTTATAAATCATGGAATCCTTTTCAAGTAAAACGAAGGTTACAGAAAAACTAATACTTGTATGAGGCCTTGTCGAGTTCTTCACATGCATTTTTCATGCTAATCCTAATGACCACTGGAAACTGTTGTATCTGTTTCAATGATGAAACAGAGCTTGAGTCGTTTTAGTACTGGCTGCAGTCACCCAGCGACTGTGGGGGGAAGCCAGGTAGTGCAGCAGTAGGATTCAGCAGGGATAAATGCTGACGAGAAGGCACTATGGAACCAGTGTGCCAGTGTTTGAAAGGGAGCTCTGCCGCTCAGCTGCTCTGTGACCTTGGCAATTCACTTAACTT